GGCCCCCCGCCCCGAGGTGCTGCCCTTCTCTCTCGCACAAAGCTGCTGCCCGCCGTTCCCCTTGCTGGTGCCACTGCCAGCTCCGCTGCAACAGTCTGATAGGGCACAGTTCCCATTACATAATTGTCCGTACGGATCTCGCCAAATGCCAATACAGTCCTCGGTGGGAGAGTTACTTCAGGAAAAAAAAAAGAAAAACAGGCAAACCTAACAAACAGGGATTTAGTCCCAGGAAGTACCTGGAGACAACAACCTAGGGAAGGGACGCCAGGACCTTGCTGGTTAACAGCAATATCGGTGCTGACCTGGCTTGGGAAGAGCTTTTGTTCCACAGCGTGATTTACGCACAGACTAAAGGTTGAATTTTCTGGCTTTTGCCCATGGGTGGCATCTCACTTTCCCAGGGAGGGTTCTGCCGCTCCATCCCTTGCCCGCAGGGGACAGCCGTGCGGGCAGCGGGCTGCGGCACCCACGGGGCGCTTGAGCCACTTCCCATTGCGGCGATGCCCGCCTCCTCCCAAGGAAACGTCCTTCCTCTCGGCCTTCCATGAATGGCTGTGCTCTCTTTTTCCCCAAATTGTGCTCCACCACAACCTCCCACAGCTCTGCTGAGGGTTCAAGCCCCGCCATGCAAAGCCCAGTGATGCAAAGCCCTCCGGCTACCCAGGGTCATTCCCATCCGGCAGCGGGCTAACCCGACAGGGAGAGCTGGGCATCCCAGCAGCACTGTGAAGCCAAACCTGCTCCCGGGAGAACCCAAAGGCCGCGTACCTGTAGCTCAGCTATGCCTCCGTGCCGGAGGCGGTGGCATGGTCGTGGCCGTGCGGGAACAGGAGGGTCCCCTCCTTGGCATCGCCACCCCACTGCTCCCGGCTCCCCATGCTCACCGGGGCCGGAGGGGGAGGGGTGCGCGGTGCCGATGCCACCCTGGCCGGGTCCCCTCTCCTCTGGTCAATCAGGCGGCAAGCCGAGTGGAAGGGGACTTTGGGTGTAAACAGTCCCTGCGCCCCTGTCGCAGGAATGTCGGGAGCAACAAGGGGGCCTTTGTGCGGCACCGGGCCCTGTCCCAGTGCCCCC